AACAGCCAAAGGTTCTTTTGGCTGGAACCGCAGAAAATCAATTAAGGCTTCTAAAAACACACACACACATACACACAATACACAAAGTGCTCTGCCTCAGATTTCCCAGAGCAAACGTATGCATAACAGACATGGGTGATAAGATTTAATGCATTTCTCCACTTAGAAATACCATATATCAGAGTGCCAACTCAATCACCGAGGTGCAAAGGATACCACATTTTTCCAACAAAGAGAAAAATAGAAACTGGGTGCAATGAAGAGGTTTATATGTACTGTTTGAACGTACGCCTATTCTTGGGAATCTAAGAATGTCCAAAATACTCATAGAACATAGGAAAAACAAGTAGCTTATACAAGCCTAATGAAATGCTGATGGAAACAACTATAGTGAAGAGAGAGTGGGACAGGAGACAGTTCCATCTTGTCTCCTGCATATGTCATCAGTTGGGGACCCTTCCCCTCAGCACCAACTGCCGCTCTGGGCAGGAGTGAAGAGAGAAGGGGCCAGAAGACAGTTCCACCTTGTCTCCTGTGCTATGTTTATTTATTTATTATTATTTATTTATTTCGAGCTTTTATAACCCGGTCTTCTTGACATCTGAAGCGGGACTCAGGCCGGCTAACAGCCGAGGGTTAAAATACAATAAGATAAACCACAGTAAACATCATAATACAATAGTATAAAAATACATTAAAATACAATTATACACTTACAAAAGGTCAGTTCGTCAGAATAAATCATAAATTCATCGCCCGTGTGGTCAGCAGTTATTGACTCAATCATCATTCTGCAAATGCAGTATTCCAAAGCCATGTTTTTAAGAGCTTTCTAAAAGTCAGGAGGGAAGGGGCAGATCTAATCTCCATTGGGAGGGAGTTCCAGAGCCGAGGGGCCACCACCGAGAAGGCCCTGTCCCTCGTTCCCACCAATCGCAATTGCGAAGGAGGTGGGACCAAGAGCAGGGCCCCTCCAGAAGATCTCAATAACCTTGATGGTTCATAGGGGAGAATCCGTTCGGACAAGTAAATTGGGCCGGAGTCGTTTAGGGCTTTATAGGTCAACACCAGCACTTTGAATTGTGCTCGGAAGCTGATTGGCAGCCAGCGGAGATGACGCAACAGAGGAATAGTATGCTCCTGTTAGTAGTCTGGCTGCCGCTCACTGGACTAGTTGTAGCTTCCGGGCAGTCTTCAAAGGCAACCCCACGTAGAGAGCGTTGCAATAGCATATATGGGATGTAACCAGAGCGTGGACCACCGTGGCCAGATCAGACTTCCCAGGTACGGGCGCAGCTGGCGCACAAGTTTTAATTGTGCAAAAGCTACCCTGACCACCGCCGAGACCTGAGGTTCCAGGCTCAGCGATGAGCTGCGAACCTGCACCTTCAGGGGGAGTGTAACCCCGTCAAGCACAGGCTGTATCCCTATGCCCTGTACGGCCTTTTGACTGACCAGGAGGACCTCTGTCTTGTCTGGATTTAGTTTCAATCTGTTAGCCCTCATCCAGTCCGTTACAGCAGCCAAGCGCCGATTCAGGACTTGGACAGCCTCCTTAGTAGTAGGTGGAAAGGAGTAACAGAGTTGGACATCATCTGCGTACAGATGACACCACACCCCGAAACTCCGGATGATCTCTCCCAACGGCTTCATGTATATGTTGAACAACATAGGGGACAGTACTGAGCCCTGCGGGACCCCACAGTACAATGGCCGCGAGGTCGAGCAGGAGTCCCCTAATAACACCTATTGGGAGCGACCCTCGAGGAAGGACTGGAGCTACTGCAAAGCAGTCCCCCCAAGGTCCATTCCCGCGAGGCATCCCAGGAGGATACTGTGGTTGACGGTATCGAAGGCCAAGAGAGATCCAGCAGAACCAACAGGGACACACTCCCCTGTCCAGTTCCCGGCGAAGATCATCCACTAAGGCGACCAAGTCAGACTGTGCCAGATCCAGATAATCAGTGTCTACCAGGAAATCCTGGAGTTGCGAGGCTACCACATGTTCCAGGACTTTGCCCAAGTAGGGGAGATTGGAAACTGGCCGATAGTTGACAAATTGAGTGGGGTCCAGTGATGGTTTTTTCAACAGCGGTTTTATAACACCTTGTTTTAAGCTGGCTGGAATGTTGCCTTCTCGAAGAGAGGCATTAACCACCACCTTTACCCACTCTGCCAAACCCTCTCTGGCTTCCTTTATAATATAATATATTGTACATACATGTAATATTTATAATATTATAATATAATAATAAACAATCATCATCATCATCTTTATTTATACCCCACCACCATCTTCCCGATGGGGACTCGGAGCAGCTTACATGAGGCCAAGCCCAAACAACAAATTACAACAGAGTAAAACCGAAAAAATGCAAACCGAAAACGCGAACAATAAATAACATCATAATTACATATTTACAGAAAGGAGGAAACCATGCAAATGAACAAAATCTGGCTACTAGTATTAAAAAACTCTAAAATTGCAACAGCACAACAACAGAGAGGAAACAAACAAGGACATCTAATCACCTCTCAACAAAAGTTTGCCCCAGGCGCAGTCAGGCCACTGTATGCTAATCAAGGTGGTCAGTTGAAACATTCACATCTAGCTCCAGCAGACAAGAGTCCTTTGCCTCACCCTGGTCATTCCACAGATATATAAACCCTTTTTCCTAGTTCTAACAGACCTCACTACCTCTGAGGATGCTTGCCATAGATGCAGGCGAAACGTCAGGAGAGAATGCCTCTAGACCATGGCCATATGGTCCAAAAAAACCTACAACAACCCTATCATTATTATTATTATTATTATTATTATTATTATTAAGTACATTTATTATTATCATACACACATGGACTTATAAATATTTTGTGGTTGTTTGTCAGGTCCCATGTAAACCGCTTAAACTGTTAAGTGATGTGCAAATATCAAAAAATAACAAGATACCACATTTCTAGCATCATCCTTGAACCCTACCCATTCTGAAACAGAGTACTTTACGTATTTTTCATGTCTTTTATGCTAACTTCCTTTTGTCAAACCACATCCTCTACTCTATATGTGAAATGGAACAGTATCAACAATAGAAAGAAAAGTATTAATCTCTTAACTTATACCGTCTTTATCCTCCAACAGAGATGTTTCCAGTGCTTTAGAAGAACAGAAGAAAAGCTAGCTGAGTGGCCATAAAATGTTTTAGAATGAAACATTCGGCCCCTGCAGAGAAGGCTTTCTTCTCATGCTCATTTGTGATCCCAGTACTCACATTCAATATCTGTTGAGACCAGAATTTTCTAAGATTTTTTTTTAGCAGATTTCAATCCAGAATCAAAGGACTTCTAATCTTCAGGGCCTAGCTTTTTCATCAGCCACAAATGATTTATCTATTTAGATTTGTTTCACGCAAAGCGTAATCAAAATTGGTTTTATTCCAGAAATTCAATGACTAAAGCAAAATGATGACTAAAGCAAAAATGGAGCAATTCATTCACTTTAGAACTGAGGTGCTCAGCAGAAATGATATCACAACATGTTATGATAGCTTAAAAAGATGATAGACCTTTGTGATTTGAACTTAAATTATCCAGGTCTCCTGATTACATTAATTCAGTTGGTATAATCTCAAACAATGTAGATACCTAAGAGACCTACTGAAACCAAAGGAGCTGAGCCTTTCATCCAGTTTATATTGGTTGTAATAAGACTCTCTGATGGACGTGGACAACAAATTGAAACAATTATGGAATATTTTGTGGAGTTTTGTTCATTGCACTTCTGCTCACTGTCCTCTATGAAAAACAATGTAGTGTCACCAAAGGTTAAAAGATCTACCCCTTAAGTGATCAAGAGGCTAGAGTAAACTCTTTATAAGGAAAGGTTACAGTGCTTCTGGGGTTTTTTCAAGCTTACAAAAAAAGCAAGCAAGATGCTCCCCGGATGTAGGTGAACTACATCTCCCCTAAATTAGTGTCAATTCCTCCCAACCCCCTCCACACAGAACACCTTTGTCATGGGTGTTCTGTGTGGGCTGTGGAAGTCAGAGCTGAAACGGTTGAAGGAACTTCGAATCCTTTCATCCATTGTCCATACTCCTCCCAAACATATTGTTTTTATCATTAATCACTATGCTTTAATTATGTTCAATTTGTAACAATGAAAATACATCCTGCACAGGCCCGTAGCCAGGATTTTGATTCGGGGGGGGGGGGGGGGGGGGGTCGGAGTGAAAGAGGGTCTACCCTAGCAAACCTTTTGTATCGTTACCCCAATACCCCCATGCATATGGGATATATTGAGTATGGTGATCAGATCATGATATGAATAAACATAACAGTTTAAATAATGCACCAGTAAGGCCTTCTCGTGGACCACCATGAGAATTTCGGGGGGCTGAAGACCCTCAAGCCCCCCCCCCCCCCCCCGGCTACATGCCTGAGTGCCCATATAAGATATTTACATTACAATTCATAACAGTAGCAGTTATGACGTAGCAACAAAAATATGGTTGGGGGTCACCACAACATGAGGAACTGTATTTAGGGGACAGGGCATTAGAAAGGTTGAGAACCACTGGCTTAGTCTTTCTTCTTCACCTGACTTCCTCTTTGGTTTCATTCTGCTGTGATAGGAAATAGCATGCAAAAAAGCCATGTTTTACTGAGTTCCCAAATGAGATGGAGGTTCAGCTTCTATCTCTTTGCCTCACCATCTTCATTTGCTCCCAGCACCCTTCTTCTCAATATTAGCATGTGAATGACATACAGAAAATTGTGAGGCCCACAGTAGTATTCATTTATTTTGGGGGCACAGGGACACCCGTTAAGATACTATAAAGGTAGTCCAGTTTGAATTTTTATTTTTAGCATGTACAATCATGTTCCCTATCAAGATGCCATATTCTGTGCAGAGGTGGAGATCCAATTTTATAGTTTATTTTTAACTTGACTGTGAACTGTCGTCTAGCATAAGATAGGCTGGCCTGCTATTTCATACTGACCTTCAATATCTTTCGACCATCAAATGACTCCCTTTCCTTAGAAGCTCTGCCTGCAGTTCTGTTATTTTGCTCTTCAGCTGCAAAACAAATAAATGAGATCATAGTTCATATTGTATCAGTGCCCCTAATGTATATTTCACGCAGGGAATGCAATTCTGTGTTCACTTTTTATGCAAGAAGTGGGGAGGAAGCCCAGCAAATTATTTTCAAAAGTACATTGTCAAAACTCCTAGAGTCATCAATATTGTTTCAAGGATTATTCAGGGCTGACAGCTCAGTGTAATAGAATCATCCAGGGGAAACCAGAATCTAATATTCAGTGTCCTCTCAAAGTACGGTTCAGCACTAAAGTCTTGTCTTAAATTCTTTTGAATTACCAGGTCCATTATCAAATACTTTTATCAGTCTGCAGAATATCTTTTAAAAATCATTGAGAAAAATCAAGTATCCATAAAATGCAATCTTATTCTCAAGATAAGATCTTTAATTTCTTAATGTAGGAACAAAAAAAAGGAGATGCTTATGTATCAGAATCACCTGCAGACCAGATAATAAAAGTAAAGGTAAAGGTTTCATCTGACATTAAGTCTAGTTGCGCCCGACTCTGGGGGGTGGTGCTCATCTCCATTTATAAGCTGGAGAGCCGGCGTTGTCCGTAGACGACTCCTAGGACATGTGGCCAGCATGACTGTATAGAGCGCTATTACCTTCCCAACAAAGCGGTACCTATTGATCTACTCAGATTTGCATGTTTTTGAACTGCTCGGTTGGCAGAAGCTGGGGCTAACAGTGGGAGCTCACCGCATCCCACGGATTCAAACTGCCAACCTTCTGATCTGCAATTTCTGCAGCTTAACGGCATAACCTGTGTGCCACTTTTTTTTTTGTCGTGTCAGGAGCGACTTGAGAAACTGCAAGTCACTTCTGGTGTGAGAGAATTGGCCATCTGCAAGGATGCCCAGATGAATTGATGTTTTTATCATCCTTGTGGGAGGCTTCTCTCATGTCGCCGCATGAGGAGCTGGAGCTGATAGGAGGAGCTCATCCGCCTCTCCCCAGATTCGAACCTGCGACCTGTCAGTTTTCAGTCCTGCTGGCACAGGGGTTTAACCCACTGCGCCACCGGGGGCTTCGCTGTGCCACTACAACCCCTATTTCCATGGTGAATACTGGTCTTTCATTGTCCTCCAAAACTTACAGTATATTCTGGCGTATAAGACTACTTTTTAACCCAAGAAAATCTTCTCAAAAGTCAGGGGTCGTCTTATACGCGGGTGTAGTCTTATGCATGGGAGTTGTCTTAACTCTATATTTTAACTGGAAAAGTTGGGGGTCGTCTTATACGCCCAGTCGTCTTATATGCCGGAATGGTAAGTAAAATCTCAGAATACAGAGTATATTTTTGCATAAATGTAAAATTAAGGTTAATATAGAGATGTTGTATTTTAATACATTTTTGTACTATTGTATTATGATGTTTACTGTGGTTTATCTTATTGTATTTTAACCCTCTGGTCCCTCTTCGGACGTCAAGAAGACCGGGTTATAAAAGCTCAAAATAATAAATAATAATAATTGAAGTAAGAAGTAACAGTTTTGTTTAGCAAGCAATACAACATTCTTACTTTCTGCAGAAAGATGAACAAGAAGGAATCAAAGAAGGAAATGAACACAAAGGGTGCCTTCAACGTTTCAGCTAAAGCGTTCCATCAGTTGCCGTGAACCCATTATCTTTCACATAGAGGTCACACAACAATAATAAATGAGCAACAGCAAGCCCAAGGATCATATAGCAGTTGCAGGGATCAAAACAACCGCTATATTTTCTCAAGGAGACCTTAACAAATGCTCACCGCTAGGATCTTTCCGAAAGAGCGTATTCATGACCGTGGCATGGAGTTTCACCCTATCCCACTCTTTCATCATCAGCCCAGAGGTCACAAACTGCTCCATCAGTCTGTCTGCTATCAGCTGAAGCCTAAGGAAAAGAAAAGGAAGTACGAGAAAAATCAATTATGACACTGGCTTTCCATGTTTATCTATATAAATAAAAATGTAATGTTCGTTTGTGGGATTAACGTAACTAAAAAACCACTGGACAAACTGCTGCCAATTTTGGCCACAAAACACCTACTAACCCAAGGAGTGACCATCACTAAAAAAAATATGATTTTGTCATTTGGGAATTGTAGTTGCTGGGATTTATAGTTCACCTACAATCAAAGAGCATTGTGAACTCCACCAACGACAGAATTGGGGCAAGCTTCCTACACAGAACCCCCATGACCAACAGAAAATACTTAAGGCCACCCAGTCCAACTCCCTCCACCAGGGCAAGAAAAGTAATCAAAGCCCTCCTGACAAAGAGCAATCGAGCCATAGACATAGATAGATAGTATCATAGATTGGAAAGGGGCCCCTAAAGAAGGACAATGAAATGTTGCATGTTTCAGACTGGGCAAACCAGACAATCTCTGAGTCGCCTGAGGGCCGAGAAGAGCAGTATACAAATATAGTAAATCAATCAATCAATCTTGACATCAACACTGACAAAGAAACAGCAAGAAATACTGTTTACCCACAAGCATAAAGAAATTATATATATTAGAAACCAACACTTTCTAATTACTTTATTTTCCAGAACATGGCCATATAACCCGGAAAAACCTACAACAACCCGAACATTACATTTTTATTTATATAGATTGCATCTATTTTAGCATTAAACTGTAGAAATGCCCAAACATATACTCAAACTTAGCATGAAGCTTTACATGGACTGATTTCTTTTCTGAGCATTGCCCCCCCCCCCATTTTTTTTTATGAATACATAATTAGAGGCACATCCTGATATAGGGAATGCATGACTTATTTAATTTATATTGGAATAACAGAATCCCTTTGGCTAAATCTACAGCATACCTTGGATCTTTTTCATAGTTTGAAATTTTTTTTAGTGCTATGGATAAATTATTCTGCCTTGCTCTTTTCAAAGTAGTATACTTTAGTAAGACTTCAAAAAGACTTCACAACGTGAGGTCACTATATATATCATATCTCACTACCATTTCCGCTCGTCCTTGACATAATGGTTCTCTACTGAAGGAATGAAATGACCAAACATACTGAAATGTAGCAAAACAGCACTTCCAGCTTTCAGTGACTGATCAAAAATGGGCAACTGACGAAAGTAGAAAGGACGATACAGAGCTGCAGATAGCTGCCTCAAACAAGAATAAGCCATCAATCATAATGAACAATAGCAATAGACGTGAACCCATGAAGGATATTAACTTGTTCAGTCTAAGAGCTGCCACCAATGTATTTCCATACATATAAAAAGCCTGTAGAAAATATACAGATTTTGCATCTTATAAAGGCATCAATATGATTGCAGTTGTGACTATAGTTGACGTTATTAAATTAGGAGGTTTGTGATGTATATGGAATATTATACTGCTGGAATGTATAAGTAATTTTCCTCTCCCTCCAAAGTCAAAGACATGTGATAAGCCGCATGAGTGCGAACTATAAGTAAAATGTGAATACTAGAAGATGAACCCACTTTCAAAACCCTATAATTCTTTCATATTGTTTATTTTTTCAAAGTATGAAGCATAACCTATAGCACAATGGACAGAGTTTTAGAAAAGCATGACCTTTTACATATCATAACCTTTCAGAAAACATAACCTTTTAGAGAACAGCCAAAAAACTCATTTGAGTAGAATCTTCTCAACTGGTATACAACCAAATGTAATTATGCAAGGCAAATGGTTCATTTGATAGACTGAATCATCTATTGTCTCTGATCTGTTAGGAAACAGAGAATATGCCAGTGCATAAAAACAGCAGTTCTTCGGAGAGTGACCACCCAACACTTTTTGTTAGTTTCCATCTACAGTTTGTTTACACGATGCACTTTTCCCCACCCAAAAGAAGCCCAAAACCCCACTGCTCCCCCGTCTCAGGCTCCTCCTTTACAAATACACTTCCTCTACTTCCTACCATACCCAGGGTTTTAATGTTTTTAACATTTTATCTTACACATTTGGCCCACCCATGGTGATTGATTTTATTATGTTATTTTGCATTGTTTTTTTTTCATTTTGTTACATTATGTATTTTGTTGTGTTTAATTTTCTATTGTTTTGTATGTTATTCTGTTGTATTATTTCTGGACTCAGCCTCATATTAGCCACCTCGAGTCCCCATTGGGGAGATGGTGGCTGGGTATAAATAAATATTATTATTATTTGAAACACAACAAGATGAGTCCACAGCAGACACTCTGCTGGCTGTTTTATTGGATCACACATCAGACAGTTCCCAAGGGTCTAGGACTGTGTGATGTATCGGCAATAATGCTTGCCAATCCCAGTAAGGTAGCCTTCTGCAGCTGGCAGATGGTAATTTTGTCAGCGCCGATTGTGTTTAAGTGCAGGCCAAGGTCTTTAGGCACTGCACCCAGTGTGCTGATCACCACTGGGACCACCTTTACTGGCTTGCGCCAGAGTCTTTCCAGTTCAATCTTTAAATCCTCATATTGTGTCAGCTTTTCCGATTGTTTCTCTTCAATCCTGCTGTCACCTGGGATTGCAAGATCGACGATCCATACTTAATTTTTTTAACACAATTGTGAGGTCAGGAGTATTATGCTCCAAAACTCTGTCTGTCTGAATCTGGAAGTCCCAGAGGAGTTTGGCGTGTTCATTCTCTGTAACTTTTTCCGGCTTGTGATCCCACCAGTTAATTGTTGCAGGCAGATGGTATTTGTGGAACAAGTTCCAATGAATCATCTGAGCAATGGTGTTATTCCTCTCCTTGTAGTCTGTCTGCGTGATCTTCTTGCAGCAGCTTAGGATGTGATCTATTGTTTCATCTGCTTTCTTGCAGAGTTATTATTATTATTATTATTATTATTATTATTATTATTATTTCAGTGCCCAAAAATATATCTACTCTCCAGTAAAACATCTTGTTTATATTATGCACTCAAGAGACAAAATAAAGTAGACTTCGGTAAAAATAATGTATTTGGTTTAACTCACACCCTTCATGTGTTCAGCACACACAGGTACACAACTTATCAGTCAGTTACAGATATGTTTGAGATAGTTTCTGTGCCATCCAGTCTGAACATCTCTCTTATAATAAAGAGCAGCCAAATGTTTACAAGTCTGCACTTTGAGGAGTCCCAAAGTCTAAAAAAGTCTGTGTTCTCAGATTGGATCATGTGTTTTGCAACCTGGGGATCACAACCAGACACAGTGAAGACATCTGCCCTTGCGCTTTGTGCTACTCTGCTGCTGAGTATGCATGCCCAGTGTGGAACACATCTCACCACACTAAAACAGTGGATGTGGCTCTGAATGAGACATGCCGCATTATCACAGGGTGTCTGCGCCCTACACCACTGGAGAAATTACACTGCTTAGCCGGTATTGCACCACCTGACATCTGCCGGGAAGTAGCAGCCAATAGTGAAAGGACCAAGGCAGAGACATCTCCAGCTCATCCCTTGTTTGGGTATCAGCCAGCACGTCAACGACTTAAATCTAGAAATAGTTTTCTAAGATCTACAGAGACACTCGCTGGAACCCCCAGCAAGCGAGAGTCCAAAAGTGGCAGGCTCAAACCCAGAACCTCAATCAATGGCTGATACCAAATGAGAGACTCCCCCCTGGGCACACAGAAAACTGGGCAACTTGGAAGGCACTGAACAGACTGCGCTCTGGCACCACGAGATGCAGAGCCAATCTTAAGAAATGGGGCTACAAAGTGGAATCCACGACATGCGAGTGTGGAGAAGAGCAAACCACTGACCACCTGCTGCAATGCAACCTGAGCCCAGCCACATGCACAATGGAGGACCTTCTTGCGGCAACACCAGAGGCACTCCAAGTGGCCAGATACTGGTCAAAGGACATTTAATCAACTACCAAGCTTGCAAACTCTGTGTTTTGTCTGTTTGTTTGTTTTTGTTTAAAATGTAATACAAATGTCTGGTTGCTCCTGACACAATAAATAAATAAATAAATAAATAAATAAATAAATAAATAAATAAGGTTTGCAACCCCTCCCACAACTTCTCAGGAAAAACATAGAGCAAGGAAAGGAAGCTGCATACCCAGAACACACAAACTTCTCGGTGGTGGCCCCTCGGCTGTGGAACGCCCTTCCTGCGGACATTAGGCAGGCACCATCTCTCATGGCATTCCGAAAAACGTTGAAGACCTGGATGTTTGTGCAGGCGTTCAAGTAATCTAGTGCAATATTGGTAATTGAACATAGGAATGGAACAATGGACGACGAACCTGGACTACGCTTTGATGATGAGACGATTGGGCTGGTTATTGTAATAATTGTTTAGTGTAATTGCTTGTTGTTTATTAATTGGATAATGTGTTAAGTAGTCAATTGTTATATATGCATTGAATTATTGCTGTTTTTATTGTGTGTAAACCGCTGTGAGTCGCCTTCGGGCTGAGAACAGCGGTCTATACGCAAAGTAAATAAATAAATAAATAAATAAACAACAGGAATATAGATAAACAAATTACTAGAGGAGGTCTGGAGAAGGTTGTAATTTCCAACATAGAGAACACTAATTAAAACCATATATTCTTGTCCATTAAGATGAGACATAATTTACACATGTGTTATTTTATGCAGTTTTTACATTAAGTCTGTTACAAACATAATTTGCAGGATAGTTCATTCCTGCCAGTTATAAGCCTTGGGTTTTGCTCAGAGATGGAACGGTAGTATGGCTCTTTCTGCTCTGCTTTGGGTCCCCATTTGCCTGACACTCCTTGATAAGCTAATACTATAGCCTATTGGCTTTCAATTGCTTCTCCGAGGCAGTTATTGACCAATTTCTAGTCTTACTGGGTGAACTTTATGCTTCTTCGCCCTCCCTCATAATTTGCTTTCTGGTGATACATCAGTGATTTTTAAAATTAGCACTGACAAATGAAAGAAAGAATATTATGGATGATACTAAAACAAATTAATAGAATGACTTCAAGTCAAAATGCTGCTCTATTATATTGTAAAATTAATCATAGAAATGAGGCAAATTAAAATGAATTATAATGAGAATCTGCTACACAGAATCCACCAGAGCATAACCTTATCTTGCTCTTTCTTTCCTTCCTCCCAGCCTCAATCATAAACAGAGAGGATCTCCAACATCACCAAGGTAATAAAAGGAAATGGGACACTTCTTCTTTATAGAGTCAGCAATTTAACAGCAAACAAAAATAACAAAGGGCATTTGCCTCTCATCATTGTCATGTACAGAATGGATCAGTTAGCAGGAGATTTTCTTTAAAGGATAGAAAGAGAAAGTGTTGCTCTTTCATAATAAGTCATATTAGTTACGGTTGTGGTTTCAGCTATGTACATTAGCAGAGGCAAGGCTGTCCCAAGACATTTTTGCTGCCTGGGGCAAAGGGCATAGATACAAATTGTTGAGATTAAAAAGCTTGTTCAGAAGCCCAAAAGATTTTTGCCATATATAGCTTTGTCCCAAAATTGAAGGAAACAGCCCAAATTCATGGGTATGTAAACAAAACACTTGCAGGACTGGTCTGTAGTAGTAGTAACTAACCCAGGTTCCAGGTCTGTTACTGATCTTAGGAATAATTTGAAATGATTCCTTTAACCTGTATTAGAATAATAGAATCATAGAGTTGGAAGAGACCTCATGGGCCATCCAGTCCAACCCCATTCTGCCAAGAAGCAGGAATACTGCATTCAAAGCACCCCTGACAGATGGCCATCCAGCCTCTGTTTAAAAGCTTCCAAAGAAGGAGCCTCCACCACACTCCGGGGCAGAGAGTTCCACTGCTGAATGGCTCTCACAGTCAGGAAGTTCTTCCTAATGTTCAGATGGAATCTCCTCTGCGACCATACCTCGTGAAGTCTGAGTTGACCATGGTGGTTCATGCCTTAGTTACCTCTAGATTGGACTATTGCAATGCTCTCTACGTGGGGCTACCCTTGAAGACGACCCGGAAATTACAACTTGTCCAACGGTCGGCAGCCAGATTAATAACTGGGGCAACTTACAGGGAGAGGTCAACCCCCCTGTTTAAGGAGCTCCATTGGCTGCCGTTCATCTTCTGGTCCCAATTCAAGGTACTGGTTCTTACCTATAAAGCCCTAACCCAGTGGTTCTCAACCTGGGGTCCCCAGATGTTTTTGGCTACAACTCCCAGAAATCCCAGCCAGTTTACTAGCTGTTAGGATTTCTGGGAGTTGTAGGCCAAAAACATCTGGGGACCCCAGGTTGAGAACCACTGCCCTAAACAGTTTAGGACCCGCCTACCTTTGTGACTGTTTCTCTCTCCATGAACCAGCCCGTACCCTTCGATCTTTGGGCGAGACTCTCCTTTCGCCCTTGTCAGTCTCTCAGACTCGCCTTGTTAGTACAAAGGAGAGAGCCTTCTCCTCTGTGGCCCCCCGACTCTTGAATTCACTGCCCAGAGAGATTAGGAAAGCCCCTACCTTGAAAACTTTTAAAAAGAGTCTTAAGACCTGGCTCTGCCATCGTGCTTTCGAAGAGTAGCCACATAATTTTATGCTAGTGCTCCTCCAATGTTCTTATCCCAGGAGTCCACGTTCATTCCCCCCCCCCCCATACGAAGATTGGCTTAATTTCCTATCTCTCTATGAGTTCTCCCTTACAATTAGTTCTCCCCCCTTATCTCACCCAGAGTTTTTAAATAATTTTATGTTCATGCAGCCCGCCCTTTGTCTTTCTGTCATTATGTTTGGTTTCTATGTTTTGTGTAAATTGTTTTATAGGCTTTGATGTTTTATATTTTAATATTATGTTGTTTATTTGATTGCAATTTGTATTGTTATATTGTAATTTTTGTTCGGGCTTGGCCCCATGTAAGCCGCTCCGAGTCCCCTTTGGGGAGATGGTGACAGGGTACAAATAAAGTTGTTGATGATGATGATGATGATGATTATTATTATTATTATTTGAAGCCATTGTTCCGTGTCCTAGTCTCCAGGGAAGCAGAAAACAAGCTTGCTCCCTCCTCGCTGTGGCTTCCTCTCACATATTTATACATGGCTATCATATCTCCTCTCAGCCTTCTCTTCTTCAGGCTAAACATGGCCAGCTCTTTAAGAGGCTCCTCATAGGGCTTGTTCTCCAGACCCTTGATCATTTTAGTTGCCCTCCTCTGGACACATTTCAGCTTGTCAATATCTCTCTTCAATTGTGGTGCCCATAATTGGTCACAATTTTCCAAGTGTGGTCTAACCAAGGCAGAATAGAGGGGTAGCATTACTTCCCTAGATCTAGACACTATGCTCCTATTGATGCAGGCCAAAATCCCATTGTCTTTTTTTGCCCACATCACATTGTTGGCTCATGTTTAACTTGTTGTCCACGAGGACTCCAAGATCTTTTTCACACATACTGCTCTCGAGCCATGCATTGTCCCCCATTCTGTATCTTTGCATTTCGTTTTTTCTGCCTAAGTGGAGTATCTTGCATTTGTCCCTGTTGAACTTCATTTTGTTAGTTTTGGCCCATCTCTCTAATCTGTTAAGATCGTTTTGAATTCTGTCCTCTGGAGTATTGGCTATCCCTCCCAATTTGGTGTCATCTGCAAACTTGATGATCATGCCTTCTAACCATCTAAAACATTAATTCTCAACCTGTGGGTCCCCAGATGTTTTGGCCTTCAACTCCCAGAAATCCTAACAGCTGGTAAAGTGGCTGGAATTTCTGGGAGTTGTAGGCCAAAAACATCTGGGGACCCCAGGTTGAGAACCACTGCTCTAAGTCATTAATAAAGATGTTGAACCGGACTGGGCCCAACCCTGCGACACTCCGCTCGCCACTTCTTTCCAGGATGAGATAACAGTTAACAGTTTGTTTTTGGATTTCTTAAAGGAAACAAAGGAGGAAAATAAAAAAATGAGATTGAAACACTCAGTGTACACATGGAACAAATAAAACCCCAGTCTGTCTATACTTAGTTTTTCGTTTTATGTGCAATACAATGTCATAGTAATACATTAAGTTAACAAAGAAAACACCATTAGAGAATTGTGGTGTTTCTGTAAATTGAGTAGTCAATTGTAAAGATGTTAAATAGCAGAGAATTTTCTTTTCCAATACAGCCTTGAAAGCAAAGCTGTTGAGAGTAGAAATAGTTTCTGGTTCTTAGAAGCACTACAATTACGCAAAAGCTGCACAAGTGGATACTCTCGCATTACTTTTCACGTTAATACTACTCATTATCAACCTAAGGGCAAACTCATTACATCCCTCTACTTACAGAGAAATATTTCATCTCCTGACTGTCTGGTGTATGTTCTAAAGCAGAAACAATCAAACTCAGAGGTTGGGACGCTTCTTGAGAATCATAGATTGCTTTTGCTAATTCAAATGTGATTTGAAAGTTTTGGAGAATGGAAATGAACATTGGAAACAAAGAGGAAACTTACTTATTAGATCCATCCTTTGTGCGGACTTTTGCATAGAGGACATCGATCATAGCTGGATCATCATTCATGTACTCTATTCCTGTTACTTCTATAGTTAGTGGTTTGCCTCCTGTAACTGAGCTTTAAAAAGAGGGGGAAAAGAAACTTTATGTTCAATGCTACATGCAACAGTACATTTCACTATTTCAGATGCACCAGACTAGGCAACATCACAAACTTCCTGTTGTTAAATAGAACTGTTTTAGTATTGTTACAGTATTTTATGTATTGTTCTATATTTATGTAAATAATCTTGATTGCTTTAGTTCTTTGTAAGCTGATTTGGGTGGCATTGGCGCAGTGGGTTAAAGCACCACTGCTCTAGATGTATCATTGGTGGGGTTCAGTGTGCTCTCTGGCTGTAGGGTAAACTACAACTTCCACTATGGTGAGTCAATCCCCTCAAACTTCTCCAAGTGTGATCCAGGTCCATCATCAGTGGAGGTCACAGTTTCTCTGGTTATAGGTGAACTATGAGTCCCAGAAAGCAAGGTCAGTTCCCCACAAACCCCTCCAGTAATCAAATTTTGGCATATCATGTACGTTTGCCAAGTTTAGCCCAGATCCATCGATGGTTGGGTTCACAGTGCTCTCTTGAAGTAGATGAACTACAACTCCTCCAACTCATTGTGAATTCTGTCAGACTCTGGGGGGGGGGGGGGGGGGGGGGGGGGGGGGGGGGGGGGGGGGATTGGTGCTCATCTCCATTTCTAAGTCGAAGAGCCGTCATTGTCCATAGACGCCTCCAAGGTCATGAGTCTGGCATGACTGCATGGAGCACTGTTACCTTCCTGCCGAAGTGGTATCTATTGATCTACTCACATTTGCATGTTTTCGAACTGCTAGGTTGGCAGAAGCTGGAGCTAACAGCCGGAGCTCACCCCGCTCCCCAGATTCGAACCACCGACCTTTCGATCCGCAAGTTTAGCAACTCGCTGCGCCACCGGGGGCGCCACCGGGGGCTCTAATCTTCTAATCAGACTACTAAAGACTGAACAAAAAAAAAACCTGGCTAATGTGTGAGTTTATCTATTACAGTAGCATTGCTCATACAGGGTCAATACAAGGATCCACAAACAGAGAAGAAAATAAGAGTCTCACTGTCACTAATATAGATTGTAAGCCTTCTAGCTGGGTTACTTCTGCATAATCCACAGCACAGAGATAGCACAAAAAAGATGTGAAATAATAAAAAGCAACTCTATTTTTCCTTTCACACAAAATGAAAAGCCAATACCTTCAAATACTGAAACAGAGACTGGAAATTGAATCCATTTGGAAACATGGATAAAGTAATGGCTCAATCCTTCCCGTTTATCTCCTAATAATGCAGACAGAACTGACCAGAGAATGAGTGGGAGTTTATAATAACTTTTTTTTTGCAAAAATATATAGGAAGACACCATTCTTAGTGCCCAGAATTGTAATTTCTTCCATGCAAAAGAGAACATGAGGTCAAGGTCTTTATAGAACAGAAAGAGAATGGATTTTACAGAATCAACAGAAGAAAATTGCAAAAGAAAATAAAGAGAGGAATGCGGAAGCATCCTGGAGGACAATCATTGTCGGGATCAAACCATTCACATGGTATTCAGAAGCACTCCAAATAGGCAATCACTTCCTACATCTTCCTAAACCTAATGGTGTTGAAGATGCCCAATCAGAAGACCAGCAGTAAATGATACTACAAGCCAAGGAAGTAATCAATTTACTAGCAATGAAGATAATGCTGCTAAGACGTTTGGCTGTTGGGACCATCATCTTCACTTCTTAGAGAAAGGTCTACTGACTACCGATGGACTGCACCTCATGAAGACCAGGAAGAACATCTTTGACAGAAGAATGATGAATCAGATAAAGAGGTGGTAGAGTAGTTGAAGATCATCGCTCAAGGATTTATCAAAAAACCCTCAAAACACAAAGATGTGAATGAAAGAGGTGAACCTGAGGTAGCAAAAGAATCTACAGAAAAACTCTTAGTAAAATAAAGGGTATAAACAAGCAAGGGTATAAATAGTCGCCTCCAGGCTGAGAGGGGTGGTATACAAGTATAGTAAATAAATAAATAAATAAAAATAGATGTCTATATGCCAATGCAGAGTGTTTGGGAAACAAGTCCTACTGCAATAAGGTAAACAGGCAGTCCCCAAGTTACAAACATCCGACTTACAAATGACTCATAGTTAAAAACAAGGGTGAGGCAGCAGGAAGTGAGAGAAAACTATTCCTCATGAGGGAAATTCACTCCTGAAAGAGATATCATGGGAAACAGGTGTTTCCACTGAAGCTTTATCACCAATCCTTGTTTCCGTAACAAGCCAAATTTTTCAAAATCCAAATGATCAAGGGACCGAAAGTGAGGCGAAATCTTCTGAACAGATAGCAAAACAAACACCACTGGAGTGTAAACTCTTCCCAATGTTATCCAAAGCCTATATATATATATATATATATATATATATATATATATATACACACATACATACACACACACACACACACACACATACATACACACACACACACACACACACACACACACACACACACACACACACATATATGCCACCCCTTGCCACGCGTTGCTGTGGCCCAGTCTGGTGAGAAAGCGTTGGTTTCTAATATATGTAATTTCTTTATGCTTGTGTGTAAACAGTATTTCTTGTTCTTTCTTTCTCAGTGTTGCTGTGGAGATTGTCTGGTTTGCCTACTCTGGAACATGCAGCATATAATTGCCCTTCTTTAGGGGTACCTTTCAAATCTATGATACTATATCTCTGTGTGTGTATCATATCTATCTATCTATATCTATGGCTGGATGGCTCTTTGTCAGGAGGGCTTTGATTACGTTTTCTTGCTCTGGTGAAGGGAGTTGGACTGGATGGCCTTGAGTATTTTCTGTTGGTCATAGGGGTTCTGTGTGGGAAGTTTGCCCTAATTCTGTCGTTGGTGGGGTTCAGAACACTCTTTGATTGTAGGTGAACTATAAATCCCAGTAACTACAACTTCCAAATGTCAAGGTCTATTTCCCCCAATCTCCATTTGTGTTCATATTTGGGCATACGGCCAAATTTGGTCCAGATCCATCATTGTTTGAATCCATTCTATCATGCTATTTGATTGTAGGTGAGCTATAAATCCCAGCAACTACAACTCCCAAAAGACAAAATCAATTTTTTTTTGAGTGAAGGACATACATTGGGTTGTTAGGTGTATACTGTCCAAATTTGGTGTCAATTCATCCGGTGGTTTATGAGTTATGTTAATCCCACAAATGAACATTACATTTATATATATATATATATATATATATATATATATATATATATGCGCGGCTGGAGTTACATTTAAAAATGCACCTGTTCCAACTTACATACAGATTCAACTTAAGAACAAACCATCAGAACCTCTTGTGTTTGTAACTTGCGAACTGCCTGTGTGACTTTATAGGTATAACAGAGAGGTGGGCTTGTTCAGCTTGATGAAGAGAAGAAAGGGGAGTACTGTATGTGCCTTTATTGCATTCTTTAAATACGCCAAGAGCTGTCACAGTTAGGAGGGGGCCCAAGGTCAGGTCTAGCGATTCAAAGTTATAGGAGGGTAGATTGAGATTGAAGATTAGAAGGAACTTTTTGACAGTAAGAAAAAAAGTTTTTTTGCAATCGAATCAATTGCTTAGAGAAATGATCTGGTCTTCTTCTCTGGATATTTTTTTTTAAAGCTGGAAAACTATCTGCTGGGTGGTTTTAGCTGAGATCCTACACTGAGCAGGGTGTTGGATTTTATGGCCCTGGATATGCTTCCTACTCTACAATACTATAACTCTATTCACTTCACAGTAAAATTGAAAGCAAATAAAATAAATACATACATAAAGTCTGCTATATTTCATGCTTACTTTGTTCTTAATAATAATAATAATAATAATAATAATAATAATAATAATAATAATAATTTTATTTCTTATCCGCTTCTCCCTGTGGCTTGGGGTGGGTTACAACACAATTAAAAAACATGAACATTGCAAAAATTCGACAAATGTACATATTTCTGTTTAAAAAATCCACATTAAAACTGCATTTTTATAAAATACATGTTAAAATACACAAAACAGACATCAAGCAAAAGACATGAGTTTGAAATTCATAGTTAAAAACTGTCTGGGTAGGCTTGCCAGAAGAGATGTATCTTTCAATGGTTTTTAAATTCCAGCAGCTGATCTAGCTGTCGGAGCTCTAATGACAGGTCATTCCAGAGTCTTGGGGTGACTGATGAAAAGGTCCTCTGGATGGTGGTCACCAGTTGGGTTCTGGGAGGCTGAAGCAGACACTCCCCAGAGGACCTAAGTGTTCAGGGCAGATTGTGCGGGAGAAGGCAATCCTGAAGGTAACCTGGACCCAAACCATGTAGGGCTTTAAAGGTCAAAACCAACACCTTGTACTTTGCCTGGAAACTAATTGGCAGCCAGTGGAGTGACATTATGATAGATGTAATGTGCTCACTCCTAGATATTCCTATAATCAATCTGGCTGCCACATTTTGAACCAACTGGAGTTTCTGAATTTGGTACAAAGTAAAACGCACTGCAAAAGTACAACCTTGAGGTTACCAAAGCATGCACTACCATCTACAGGTCCTCCAACTCTAGGAAGGGGTACAGCTGACGTTTCAGCCAAAGCTGGCAGTAAGCACTTACTCTTAACAGTGTTACATTGGTTGCAAAGTGGAACAGTCTCTTCCCTCTGTGCTATCCAAGTTCTAGAACCAGCTTTTTAAAAAGTCGCTAGATGTAGCTATTTCACTTTATTCTATCTTATTATTATGGTGTTTTACTCACTCAATAAAATCTTCTTTACATTTCTTCAGAAGTTCCTGGGCTTTTTGGATTTCTTGTTCATTCAAAAGTACCAATGTCCCAATAGTTAGATGTAGCTTTGCTGGGTTCTGGAACAAAGTGCTGCTGATACCACAGTCCTGTAGAAAAATTTAGAAACTTCTCAGGTGACAAAAGCATATGAAAGCACATTAATAACAATAAGGAGGAGATAATTAAAACATAATCTAACCAGAAGTCTAGATCAGGGGTCCTCAAACTAAGGCCCGAGGGCCAGATACAGCCCTCCAAGGTCATTTACCCAGCCCTTGCTCAGGGTCAACCTAAGTCTGAAACGACTTGAAAGCACACAACAACAACAACAACAATCCTTTCACATCAGCCAAAAGCAGGCCCACACTTCCCATTGAAATACTAATAAGTTTATATTTGTTAAAAATGTTATTCGTTTTAATTATTGTATGGTTTTTAACTGGGTTTTTGTTGTTGTTGTTTTTTTGCACTACAAATAAGATATGTGCAGTGTGCATAGGAATTCATGCTTTTTTCAAATTATAATCCGGCCCTCCAAGGTCATTTACCTGGGCCTTGCTCAGGGTCAACCTAAGTCTGAAATGACTTGAAAGCACACAACAACAACAACAACAACAACAACAATCCTTTCTCATCAGCCAAAAGCAGGCCCATACTTCCCATTGAAATACTAATAAGTTTATATTTGTTAAAAATGTTCTTCATTTTAATTATTGTATGGTTTTTAACTGTGTGTTTTGTTTTTTTTTTTTTGCACTACAAATAAGATATGTGCAATGTGCATAGGAATTCATGCTTTTTTCAAATTATAATCCAGCCCTACAACAGTTTGAGGGAATGTGACCTGGTCCTCTGTTTAAAAAGTTTGAGGACCCCTGGTCTAGATAAACAGACTGAAATCAAATTGCATTATCTCCCCCTTTTTGATGGCGAATGCATTCAAAATATATTTACTCTTATCTGTGCAGTTCATTTCAAAGGGCAAACATTGCAGTTAATTCAGCCACAGTGTAAAATGTCTGCACTGTACAACATTGAAGTGATGGTCCTCCGCCATCAACTCCGCTGGACCGGCCACGCTGTCCGGATGCCCAACCACCGTCTCCCAAAGCAGTTGTTATACTCTGAACTCAAGAACGGAAAACAGAATTTAAAGATGGAAAAGAGATTTAAAGATGGGCTCAAAGCCAACCTTAAAAACCCTGGCATAGACACTGAGAACTGGGAAGCCCTTGCCCTTGAGCGCCCCAGCTGGAGGTCAGCTGTGACCAGCAGTGCTGTAGAATTTGAAGAGGCACAATTCGAGGGTGAAAGGGAGAAGCGTGCCAAGAGGAAGGCGCGTCAAGCCAACCCCGACTGAGACCGCCTTCCACCTGGAAACCAATGCCCTCACTGCGGGAGACGAAGAATAGGGCTCCACAGGCACCTACGGACCCAACAGAATACTGATCCTGGAAGACTATCCTACTCGGCCAACAAGGGATCGCCTAAGTAAGTAAGTAAATGTCAGTCATATCATATACTAAGGAGGAGACGGGGGCAGGTTTGATATCTCACAGTTGTTAGAAGAATTTCATTTTAATTTCCATAAGGCCCCTAAATGTGATGAACACAATAAATAAGCTTTCAGGGAAAGGGAGGCTTAATCCACCTAATCCTACAGAGTAGGGATAGTGGCAGGTAAAGCAAAAGTCATGTTATAATTGTTGTCAGGCAAAGCTGCTAATTTTCTCCTCTGCAGCTTTCCGGGAATCAAAAGCATCTTGGAAGTCCTGATAGCTTTCCACTCAGAAAAGAAATCCCACTCTCTTTGAAGAAGAGGCAAACTGAATAGCATATTAAAGCCTCACTAACAGTAAGGGAGGTTCGTGGTACCGTCTTTAAATTATCAATGAGGATCAGATATCTTTCTACAAATCTTTTACAAGCCTTTTAAATCTCTAGTAGTCTTAACAGCACAAATCTATACATCGTTTTTATTATGTCTAACTGAGTTCAAGAGGTCTTACGCTTCACTATCTGTGTTTTTTTATTGCAACCTTAAGTTGAAAGCAATTTAACCCAGATGCCTGATCTGATCTGACCTGACCTTTTCCAATGGAAAGCCCAAAGCAAAGCCACAACAGGTTGTCTGCTCTACCTTTTACAGGTTTTGACATCCTGCTCAGAAGCCCGCCTGCTCTACAAGAGCAAATGGACCTTAAGTCTTTTGTTCAAGCCATAGATCACTGCTTTCTATTCAACAATGAACTGAATGTCATTGAAATGCATTGTGTTTTCCTTTAAAATGCAGTTCAGCAATGGCTTTGAACCCTGTTATAGATGGGCATCCAACAAGTAGCTGGAAAACAATTAACTCTCACACACAAAGATTCAGCAATGTATGGAGTGCTTCTCTATGTAAAACAAATTTAGTGCAAGAGAAGGAAACCAGAAAGACATCTGGATTTATTGTAAGAAAGAGCATGTCCTACGTATTGTCGAAGGCTTTCATGGCCGGAATCACTGGGTTGTTGTAGGTTTTTTCGGGCTATATGGCCATGTTCTAGAGGCATTTTCTCCTGACATTTTGCCTGCATCTATGGCAAGCATCTCAGAGGTAGTGAGGTCTATTGGAACTAGGAAAGTGGGTTTATATATCTGTGGAATGACCAGGGTGGGGCAAAGAACTCTTGTCTGTTGGAGCTAGGTGTGAATGTTTCAACTGACCACCTTGATTAGCATTTGATAGCCTGGGGGTGCAACATCCCACAGCCAAATCTTGAGTTTCCTTCTAAAGGACAGGAGGGAGGTGGCCAATCTGATGTTTTTGGGGTGGGAATTCCACAGACAGGGAGCCACGGTTAAGAAGGCCCTGTCCCTCGTCTCCACCAATCGCGTTTGCGACGCGATCAACAGCAGGGCCTCTCCAGATGATCTTAAACTTCGTGATGATTCATAGTAGGAGATACATTCAGATATGTAGTCTGCGCCAATATGTGGAGGACTCTTTGCCCCTGGCCAGAAACGGCCATTAATCCAGAGATGGGTTGCTTGGACTGAAACTCCAATGGTCTGTAAACACAGCCAATAGAGTATTGATGCGACTTGCAATCAAACAATATCTACAGTAATGCCAGGCTGAATATATATATTGGGGGGGGGGGGGGGGGAAAAAAAAAGACAATAAATGAATCTATTACATTTTGATATAGCAGGAAAGGGATTTAAAAAACCATTGGAATTGTAGAAGCCAGAAAGCGAGTTCCCACTGTAATCTATTATTTTGGATCACCTTGTTATGCATCTGGCTCTGAATTTTATGAATGTCTAAACTTCAGAAAAAGGTAGATTGCCAAAAAAAAGCTAAAGTTATCTTACTGTAGTATACCAAGTGATATGCACACCGATGGTGAAATATAAATAATAGTAATAAGCCTCATATTGGGAATATTGGTACAAACACATTTTCCCTGACGTTACAGAATTAGATGCTACCATCTAGCAAATGGTTCCCAGAGTACATCTGATGAGCAACTGTATGCAATAAGTCTGCATGCGTGGTAGAAACAGAATTCATTGTAGCCACAACTACAATTATGTATCTACAGCAAACGTGGGCAAACCGTGACCCCTGATCAATCTACCCTCCCAATTTTTAAAAATCCGAAAGTCCCCTCCCCTCTGGTGGTTCTGGGGTAATCTCACCTTATACCGCCCCACCTTCCCAAAAGTCCAGGAGATCTTTTTAAAGAGTTGCAAGAGACTTCAGTAACTTCCTGTTTAGACTAAAACGCCTCTATAAGGCTTAAATAGAAATAAATTATTTATTTATTTTATTAGATTTTATTTATAAATTTGTCCAACAAAATGTATAAGCATACATTCTTCTCTCTTTTTACAGTATCTTAGACAAAGGAGTATGTCATATTATATACAATCTAACAGTAAAAAAAATCGAAAACATCTTTAATCATATTTCTTATCATTATTTTTAAATTTTCATTACAACTTATACTACATATAACACTATCACACACCTTTTATCCACTTATACATACTGTATTTCTTTATAATTATTATTATGCCGTTTTTCCCCTCTTCCCCTTACCCTTAGTTTTGCCCCCTTCACCAGGACCAACCAACTCATATTGTTTCACCATTCCAAAATATCATTGTTTCTCTTGCTGGCTTATACCCCTTTCCCTCATTAAACACATCTATATATATATATATAAATGCTCTGTGCATAATGAGTACCTTTAAAAAAAAGAAGAACCAATGAGCGAAATCACACCAAATTTGGCAACAAAATGTCTCACTACACAAGGAGTGACCATCAATCAAAAAATTATTATTTTGTCCTTTGGGAGTTGTAGTTGCTGGGATTTATAGCTCACCTACAATCAAAGAGCATTCTGAACTCCACCAACGATGGAATTGAACCAAACTTGGCACAAAGAACTCCCATGACCAACAGAAAATACTGGAAAGGTTTGGAGGGCACTGACCTTGAGTTTGGGAGTTGTAGTTCACCTATATCCAGAGAACACTGTGGACTCAAACAATGATGGATCTGGACCAAATTTGGCATGAATATTCAATATGACCAAATATAAACACAGATGGAGTTTGGGGAAAATAGAACTTGACATTTGGGAGTTGTAGTTACTGGGATTTATAGTTCACCTACAATCAAGGAGCATTCCAAACCTCACCAATGATGGAATTGGGCCAAACATCCCACACAAAATCCCCATGACCAACAGGAAATACTGTGTTTCCTGGTGGTCTTTGGTGACCCTTCTGACACCCCCCTGGTGACCCCCCCCCCCCTTGGTGTATTGACTTCCCAGGTTGAGAAATCCTGCCTTAAGGCCATCCAGTCCAGCTCCCTTCACCAGGGCAACAAAACAAAGCCCTCCTGACAAAGGGCCATCCAGCCATTCACACACACACATATATGTATATGACAGATGCAGTATCAAAGATTTCAAAGGGACCCCTAAAGAAGGACAATGATATGTTACATGTTCCACAGTAGGCAAACCAGACAATCTCCACATCAACACTGGCAAAGAAACAACAAGAAATACTGTTTACCCTCAAGAATAAAGACATTACATAT